TAATTTTTATTACATTTATGGTTGGTATTACATTTATGGTTTTTATTACATTTATGGGTGATACAGCCCCTAGCCGGCTAGCCCCTAACCAAAAGTCGATTAGCCCCCAATCACGCTTCAAGAACGAGAAATAAACAGTTAATTTACCCTTATCATTTTCAACTTAGCTAAGTGTTTCACTTCCCTGTCCACACAGCACAACAGTTTCTTTAGAAACTAATAAATTTGTTCATTCATGATGACGAATCGTGCAACGTTCGAGATGTGTTCACGCGTAGATTCATCTCACTATCAACCTCGATTCCAGGCTCTCTCTTCTTTGCCTTGAGAGAGAGCCTGGGGTCGAGGTTGCCCAAGTGTAGCTAAACTCCAACACGTACTGTTTACTTGTGCGTCAGGTGCGGTCGTGTCATGTTCCTCCTCGTGAGACTCTCCAGCGGGGGTTGGCCTTGAATCCACTGCTGTGTCTCCGTTCTCTTTGACATTCCCTTTTGCTGACTCGGCACTTGTCTCTTTTGCTGACTCAGTACTTTCTGGAGACTGTGTGGCTTTTTCGGGACTCGCCTCGTCAGACTGCTTGGATTTGTTGAATTTCTGCATGGCGGCTGAGAGCAGAATACAAGAGATGAAGAGTACATGAGCTCATTACTCCTTCACTAAACAAACATAAGCAGTTCACATTTCAGAGTGAAGTCTTTAAGTCTTTAAGTAATTATCACACAACACCCTCGAAGCTCCAAGGTTTTGCTTAATTTGCACCTTATTACTTAACATAATAACTTGCTTGTTAAAAATAGATGACTTTTAATAATGTGAAATAACGCATTTAAGAAGAGCAGGGGTGAAAACTGGAAATATGGTAAAGAAAAAAAATGAGCAGTTAAGGTCAAAAGTTAGTTTGAATTCTATACATCTTCATGAACTAATGTATCTTAAGGCAAAGAAAAAGGAAAAAAATGTTTTTGGATTACCGTAATGATTTGACTGAACACTCGGAGCGTTGATTTACTTTTGGTAACTCGAGGGCGCGCGCTATTGGAGACGGTGGCGCTTATAAGGGACGGGACGCTTATAAGCGACGGGATGCTTATCAGGAACGGGACGCTTATCAGGGACGGGACGCTTATTGGGGATGGGACGCTTATTAGAGATACGACCCTTATTAGGGACACGACGCTTATTAGGGATGGGACACTTGTTAGGAACGGGACGTTTATTAGGGACGGGACGCATACTAGGGACGAGGCGCTAGCTATGCATTCAGGTTTGCAGTGCTCGACGTCTAATTTACTGATTGAGCAGCTACAATTGCAAACTCTTTCAAAGGTCATTGATGGGTTTCCTGAAAAAAAGTGTTTAATTCCTAGATAATTTTCACCTCAACAGTAAGGTCATACATATACTTTCGAAAGGTCCCTTACTCCTCCCACTCGGCCTCTTCGTACTCAATTTTTGAGCATCACAGCCATTTTTTCGCTTTTCGCAGCTCAGTTTTTGCAGCTCGACTTGTGGTCAAATCTAAATTACACAGAGCAGTGTTGCACTGACCAAGCAAGAAGTCTGTGCAGTTTAAGTGCAGTGCAGTGCAGTTCAATGCAGTGCAGATCATTGATCCACCAAAGCACAAGTGCTTTATTTATCAATCACATGTGAAAGAGAAATGTCTGTTTGCCAGATGTCAGCCAATTTGTTTTTCCAGTGTACCTGTATATTGCTCCTTTCCCATCTCAGCATATATGACAGTGAAAAGATCCAGTGTACGTTTGGTTATGGGATGTTCTTCTCCATATATGGATTGGCGCAGTTTTACAGCCTGGAGAAAATGTTGCAATTGACAATGGTAAGCTATAAATTAAAGAAGTTAATAAGAGTATTACACTGCTACTGAACAGCATAGAATGAGGGGGAGAGAACATGAACTAAGAAATGTCAGATCTAAGTATCACCAATAATATTATTCTCATTGAATGGCTGTCTGAAAGATTTTATATTTTGAACTCTAGATAAATGTTATGCCTATTTAAGAAAAAGTTATGAGGTAGCCATGATTGATCATTGCAGTACCAAATTAAAGCCTGAAAAAAAATTCAGGCTTGAACTGCAAGCCTGAATTTTTTTCAGGCTTTAATTTCACAACTGCTTAATGTGTATGTACTGCAATGATAAATTATATCTTCATTTCTTTTTCTACAGTTCAAATATATGATCTTTCATATAAGCTTATTCACTTGCATAAAGTTTTAATGTTTACCAAGATGCAGTGTAAACACATTAGACCATTACAAACTTTCTCTTTCTCTCCAAAGATCCTAAATTCTTAAATAGACATGAAATGTCTCACCTTGCCACAGTACTCTAGTGCCAGCTGAGCACTGTAAAAAAGTGATGCAAAAAATGTCATTTAAGTTAAGAAAATAATGCCAAATATAATGCTTTGGTAATTTTTAGTGACCAAAATAAACTTTGTTGAAAATGTTCTGCTATTGATGAACCAAGCTAAATGGCTGAAATAGATTAAGTTTCTTTGGGTGTAAGTTCATATAATTTCAAATATCATGCACTTTCAAGCCCAGTTGCTCATGAGATCTAGCCGATCCCAGTTGACGACACTCTGGCTGATCCCAAAGAACCCTGCATTGACCAAGAAAAACAGGGGTACCCAGGGGACTTATAAGCCTCTACACCACAAGGCAAATAGAAGTATCGTTTATCCCCTTGAATGTGCTGCTAGTTCATCACATCTTGTTTCCCCAGAAATTTTGATCCAGAGTAGGCTTGATAACCAGCTGCTGTTTCAGGAAATGAGCTTGCCTCAGCCCCCAGGGAGGAATGCGACTGGACCAGAGAGAGTGGCAGAAAATTGTGCCTGATTTAGAGCCATTATGCCACTGTGGCTTGCTTCTCAATGGGCATGATGTAGGAAAAACATACACCAGGTTTTGACACTTACTCTTTCTGCTTCAAGCACATGTGTGCTAGCTTCTCATATTCATTTGCTGACCGAGCCTCAGTCGACTGTCCTTGGGGATCATCCTTGACCTCAGGCTGAAAGAAAACAAAACATGAAGCAAAAAAAGAAGCTGTATTCCATGAGCTACCTCTCTAAATGGGTGCTTGTCATCCAATGGTCATACATGGCCTGATAGTAGTCCCCTGTGAGATTGTACCATGAACAGTTTTAGCCAATGACATCAAAGGAAAATTTATTGGTGAATATATATAATATATGGATTTAGACTGAGTCACTCAGAAGATATCCTCACTGAAAGGTATCCTTAGGACCCCTTTATATATTCATTCCTACAGGAGCAGGTAACTGCATAATTAGAATGCCAAAACCAAGCATCTTTCTGTTCTAACCTGGGATACTTTGTCTCCTGTACTCTTGTCAGATGTAGTGAAACTGCCAGTATTATCTACAAATAAATAGTAGAACTTAATTAATAGTCTTGACTAGGTTTAATATCAATTCTGTCTGTAATATTAGAACAAAATAGCAGACTGCCATATAGGGTAGAGATCAAACCAAACTAAAGCCTGCTTAAAGGAATTGCTGCAATTTAATGACGAGGGTGCATTGTCTGTTTTTTGCAAGCCTTATTTGTTCTACTTGCCATAAAAATACCAGGAGGAAGTACCCAAATCTAAAATTGAGAGGAAGGAGACCTTTTTTGGGGGGGAGGGCATGTAAAATTTACACTGTCAAAGGTTCACTTTAAAGGAGCTTTGCCATGGTTTATGGATCTTTAGCCCAAATTTTTGAAATTTGCCATTTGTAATCCATGTTAATCTTTTTCACCTTTAACCATCCTTGTACCTTTATGATAATTATCTCTTTGCTTTTTTCTATCTTAGTAAACAGCCTCAAGCATTGCGGCAGGAGCAAAGTTGATGAGCAAAGTTGAGAAAGATGAGTCAGCGAGTGAAGCGAAAAATCTGTGAATCGTCTTTAGGAAGGAAGGAATGTTTTTGCAGGTTATGCCAACTGGATACGCACAGTAAACATTTTAAATTTCTTGAACTGTTTGCAACTGCAGTGATGATCAAGAAAGTTTGTGAAGGTCAACATTCAGATGCTGTAGTGTTGGTGACTTGCTCCCCAACCAGCATAATTCATGATCAGGTAAAGGAGGGAAATTCAATTGGCTTAGATTGTGCTGCGATTAAAGATGTCAACGATTTGTCCAACATTGCGAGCTGCAAAACACAAGTGCTGTGTGCATAAATAAAACTAAAGCCTCCACGTGCAATTTGCTATCATGTTTGTTGATGTTTTTTTTTCTCAATTTCTATTGGCTAATAATTTGACACATTAAGCTAGTGAGTTGTCATAATCTTGACACCTTCAGAGGGGCTGTATTCAGAAAATGGTGTCTGTGCAGGCTCTCATTCTCACTGGCTCACTTGGCTCGCTGACTCTCACTTCCTTCACTGACACCAATGATGAGAGCCTACTTGCAGGCTATCTTAGTAAACTACTATTTTCAGTTTTCCTCAATTTAAAGGTAATTTTAAATTGTCAAAATACAGTCACTGAGCTCCTTCAAACTTCGTACATTTTCATTGGAATGGTTTTGCAAGGTTTACTGAGGTTTCCTTTGAGGGCAGGGCTGGTGGGGAGGAGTTGTGATTTTTGGTGGTAATCTGTCAACAGGGGATGTCTCTTAATGTCTCTTTATCCTTAGTAAGAGTAATGGAACATACTAGGGGAAAGAAATTGCTCAGCTGATAAACAATGCTCCCAGTTCCTCAATATTCGATATATTCATATCAGTATTAATTGTGTTTTCCTAGCACTATAATTGTCATCTGGGTGCATTCATGAAACGTGATATCATGTACAAAATAACAGTAAATAATACCTGGTTCATTCTGTGTTGACTGGAGTTCATTTCCAACACTGATAAGTGATGTTTCATAATAAAGTTTCTCAGCCTGGGCAAATGAAACAGCATTCTCATCTAGCACACTAGTTAAGGGGTTTCAATGATATATAATAATCTGCAATAACAAGTACTACCTCAATTATCCGGACTCGCTGGGACTAGACGAAATAGTCCGGATAATCGAGGGTCCGGATAATCAAAAATATGAATGTTAATGAAGAACAAAACTGTTTAAATAAAGCAACATTTAATTGTGAAACTTCTACAAATCATTTGGAAAACAATATGGTCTACTGTACATCTTGAACCATTCAACGCTGAGAAAAGAATATTAAAAACAATATTGCTATGGATCTTGATCATGACTAATAAATATTCGTGAAAAAATTGAGACTAGAGAAAAAGTCCAGATAATCGAGAAATCCGGATAATCGAGGTATGGATAATCGAGGTTTGACTTTTTGTAGTGTAAAATATATGATATGAAACAGAAGATTGACATTGAAAATTTGCAAAATTTCTCTTAACTCTCATTGAAAACCTAATCTCCATTTACCTTTTATAAGGAAGAACCCTCTCAGTAAACAGCCTCCCTGCTCCCTGGAGTGTAGAATAGCTACTGTTCTTTATATGTCAAATTTCTTGTAGAAGCAAACAAACCACAGAATATGCTGTGGTTGTTGAAAACATATTTTTAATTATCGACAAGCAAAGCTTACTACTTGTGTTCTGAGGTTGCAATTAAGGGCATCTACTGAACAAACATAGCCTGGATTTCAAAACTAAATGCCATCCTTCTCGTCTCACACAACACATACATGTAAGTATTAAAAGATACAATCTCCAAGTTGGCTGTAAATCTCTGCTATCTGCCAAGAAAGAAACAACTTACAGTAATTAAAGAATGGCCATTATTACTAAAAGCCATCAGAAATTTTCTGATGGCCTTTAGTAAGATTGACTTTTTCCCTAATTATTGTTAAATAGTCATAAAAATGTGGAAAATACCAAAAACATCCATAGATTAGGAGAAAAAGTGTAGTCTATGAGGAATACCTGCAGGAAAAAAATTAATGCAAAAAGACAAAAACAGTACAGGGAGAAACGACATGATCTACAGAGGTCCAATCCCACAAGTCTTTGCAATAGCCATATTCATATTGTCGGTAATGGACTGGAACTAGCTTGCAATGGAGGCTCATGTGGGGGAATATCATTAAAATGAGAATGTCATTTGTATTTGAAAAGACTCCCCGCATTAGCCTCAGTTGCAAGCTAGTTCCAGTCTAATACCAAGAATACCTGTGAATAGGGTCAATTTGTACAGACTAATTTGATTTTATGATGCAAAAGTGGTTAATAAATCTATGTCATTAAGATATGCTCGAAAATATTTGTTTTGCATTTGTGCCAAAACTGAAGTTTTAAAAAGAAAAAAAAGGGATAGAACAGAAAAGGGTCAAGATCAAACTGGAGTACTCACATTATGAAGGCACTCTGGAAGTTGTTGAAATTCAGATCCATCTTTCAGTCCTCGCACACAGGCCAGCAGACAATAGAGACCATGCTGTAAGTTCCCTTTCTTCTGTTTGTGAATTGATTGCATCCATATTCAGTGATCAAATAATAACTCATTTCTTGTAGTTACATGGCTTTTGGATTTAAAACAAAACTGTGGGATTGCCTTATGCAATATGTCTCTGTCAGTTACTAGACAGTTACATGTAAGTGTGTGGTATTGTTGCAATTTGTTACTGTTGTTGTGTTGCCCAATGATGGGACCACAAGAAATATCAAATAAAAATAGTTTGTGATACCACATTATCCTCTCTGACTTAATCCACCTCTAACCTTTACTGCATCCTAATGCAATTATCCTGGCTACTACCAACACATTTTGACAGGGCCGAAGCTTGTTAAGAAGGTATACAAGGATCTCAAAAATAGTGCAACCTAGATTAAAACCAAGCAAACAGTTTTATTTGGTTGAGGACACTCATCTCAGCTATCTGATTTCATGGTCACATGAGAAGTAAGGTTGCCCAAAAAAGCAAAATGCAATCACTGAAGACCTCAGTTGACTAAGTGACTGGTCATCTCTAATTAACTTTCTGTTGATGAAGTCTTCCATTTATACCCATAGGCCGAAACTTATATCTCAAAAGGAGAGAACAAGGGATCTTCCATTGTTACCTTGAATCTGAAAAAAAAGAAGAAAATTAATGAATGGTTAATATTATAACTAGATAAGTTATTTACAGTCAAAGAAAAGACACAGGCTTTCAGTAACCTGTCTATACAGATTTGTAGTTTTTCAAATTTCAGTTCTGTTATATACATGATATGCAACATCATAGGCATGTAGTGCATGCAAAGATCTATAACTATAATCTTGGTTACATGTTTAAAAACTTTGAAACTTGCAACAGGCAAAATGCACTCCTAAAAGTCTACGTACAAGTTGTTAGCAGCATTAGAAAGAGGTGGAAAGAGTCCAAAGGTTTTTTTTGTGCATTTTTAATGGTACATGCAGGAAATAAAGCTGTTCACAATATGAAATGTTATAATAATTTTTGCTGCTTTGATTGGCTGTGTAGATCTACATCTACATCTACACTTAGTTAGCTGAATAACAACTTCTTGTTTACAAAGCCTGATGGATTACCACTTAACCATTTGAAATTACTTAAAGTGGAAATTCAGGTTTGACATGAACTACATGCTGAACAGTTCCTCACTTTATTTTAATTATGTATCATTTAGACAGACTATCCATCAGCAAAAATAAATGAGTACAGCCCATATATTATGAGGAAAAGGCAATAAAAAGTTTTAATTTTTTTCCTGAGAGAGCAGAGCAACAAATTCTGCAATCTGATTGGTTCTTAACGGTGGGAAAAATGATCAACGAGAGGTCACAAATGACTTTTGGAATGTCAGGGAATACGTTGACCCAGGAGAAACTTGACACTGCCTAAAGACATGACTGCCAGCAAAAGGGGTGTGTTCCTAATTACGCACTTTGACAAGGCGAAAACCACCATGCATGCGATGTGCCCTGCAAAAACTAAAATCTTAAATCAAGATTTTTCATCTTACCTCAGCACCAGAACAAAAGCTGACATAAGTTGTCAGCTTTTGTTGTGGTGTTGAGATAAGATGAAAAATCTTAAATTAAGATTTTAGGTTTTATGGAGTGTGTGTGGAAAAGGTCGACATTCACAAAAGCGATTTGAGAGAGAGGAAAAAAAATAAATGAGTCATTTACTGGCTTAGGTTCAGTCTGTATTGTGAAAAATTGTGACCTCGGATTTGGAAATGTTGCCCTCGATGTGCGGCTTTGCAGCATTTTCAAGACCAGTTTTTCACTATAGGGTCCTCCCAGCTGGCAGATAACATATATTTATCCAATTGCCTCTTAAAAACTCTTTCAACTGTTAACTCTAATCTACATAATAGCTTAACTGTAAGCTTACATTCCACAGCGAAATTTAATTATTTAATTTAAAAAAAAAAAAAAACCGATCAAAATAGGGGTTCACTACGATATCTGACAATCTTACTTGATTCCTTTCTCAAATAGTAAATGCCGTTCGTGGTCAGATAGTGGTTCCTCGGGTATTTTCTCTTCAGACAGGTCAGTTAGTTCGCTTCCATCTTCTGTAGGCTGTATAGTGTTTTGGTCGACTTGACCGGAATGTTTGTCGTCTTCAGCAGGGACTACATCTTGAACGTTGCTATCAGGCCTTTCTTCATCAACCTGCACATCTGCAGCCGCACTACTTTTCATCCTTTAACATAAATAAACGCGGTAGCTTTAGTTAAAAAAAGTAAATGACAGTCAGAGAACATTTGATCACGGCATATTTTATCTTCACCTCGCAACAGTCCTAGTTCAGTTTACCCTTCATGTAACTTGCATGGAAGCACTGGTTGATATTCGAACGGTCCCGTGGAACTTTGCAATCGCCCTACTTGCAAAACACGAAGGAGAGGAGAAGATGGAAGCACAACCTCTCGTTAGCCTTACTTCGATAGATATTCACGAATCCGAACCAAAAGTCTTCGACGATCACGAAGCGTTCATCTCGCTCCTTTCTGAGCACGATGTGGAAACCTCCAGAGGGAAGCTGCGTGTAACTCGGCAGGGAAAAGAGGGGAAGACTGCCATCGTCACGTTCCATGATATTGGACAAAATCACACATCAGCATTTCTTGGTTTCTTCAACTTCAACGAAACGCGGCCCCTTCTAGATCAATTCTGCATCTACCACATTGACGCTCCTGGCCAGCAAGAAGACAGCGAGGACTTGCCAGCAGAATACTTGTATCCCACAATGGACGAGTTGTCTGACATGGTTGGAGAAGTGGTGAATTTTTTCGACATCAAACGATTTATTGGCTTCGGTATTGGCGCTGGAGCCAACATCCTCTGTCGATATGCACTCTGGAATCCTACCCGAGTTGAAGCCCTAGTTTTGGTGGAATTAGTGGCTTCTAATGGAGGGTGGATCGAGTGGGGATACCAAAAGGTAGGTTTGCGCTGCATGTTCGTGCAAGAAGTGCGAAAACTATGTACATTTTGTACTAGCAAGTGTGCAAATCCGCTACTTAATATGAGCTTGGCGAACGGAAGATATCAATTATTTATCACATTTATGTGTTTGCTTCAGAATGACACCATTACAGTAATTCTTGCTCGTATGTTTAGGCAAGATTTTCGTATAACCTCATCATACATTTATTATGCATGCTGTTGTTGACAACAATAGTAAAATTTAATAGTGGGAATGATATGGGGAGGGTGTTGGGAGAGATGACAAGGGGTGGAAAACAACGGCGAGAAAAAT